ATGCACAGACATATATGGAAGCGAGAACGGCAAAAGCTGAAATGCGAAACCTCGCTGCCCAAGGGGACTTGAACCACCAACCCCATCCTCACTGTTCGATGGGGATCCCCACGCTATTCACAATGTCATCCAATCGTTGCTCCTGGACACCGCTCCAATCGTTGAAGAAACCATCCCAAAAAGCCGTTCATTTTCAACCCATTTACTTTCACCCACTTTACACTTCGGTTTCAATAGTCCCTTTACAAGGGCCCTTCAGTCACTGTTCAAAGTTGCAAGAAATTCAGAGCGCATAGAGGCTCAAAACGAAGCAGTTTTCATAGATTTCTTTTCACTCCTTTTCTTGACTTTCCTGGAATTCGGCGAAAGAATCAGCGAAGATGAAGCTCACTTTGGAGGCTCCTGCATGAACCCCTACAGTATGCAAAGAACCGTTTCTAAGAAGCGCACCACGCCCTGAACGATCTTCCGAATGTAAGTGCAATTGTGACTTTCCGCACTCCAGCGCTGGTATTCAGACTGTTTCAACGGCCATCAGAAGTTATGCCCTGTATGTGGCTCTATCAGCTGGAGCTGCTCAAAGGTTAAACGTTTGACGCGGTCGGTTATCCCTTGATTTTCAAACCGCTCGAGTAGTGAAGTGTGAACGCCCCCTAAATGCTTGGCATTGTAACCATAGCACGTCCTAATAATGAGGAAAACTGGTTGTTAAACATGCTTTCCTCCCTTCCCGTCGTCCTCCTTCCCTTCTCCACCCTCCACTAGTTCTCGTTCAGCACATTCCAGTAGTCGTGAGAAAGGCCTACTGAAAGCTCGAAGCAATGCAATCAGCATTGCTTTCACATGGTAATCGTCTGCAGGTCTCACCGAGCTCATATTTAGACGAGTATCCTAGGAGTCTGGTACAAGAAACCGCTATCAGATGGGCCGCCGCGACTCGCGGTCGTCGCACTTGTTTTGGAAATCGCAAGGGGTTCAGTTTACTTCCCACCTGCGCAAAACAGCGCCCTTGCACCTTGTCAACTCGAGCCATACAGCATTTGCAATATTTTCAAACGCATCTTTATGGCATCATACCTCTTCCCTATAATGAGAGACCTTCCAGTATTTAAAAAGTAAAGGTATATGCGAATGAAGCCGTCACAAATCCCATGTCGTGCAGAACAACGACGATTTTCTGAACCAGGCTCTATCTACGCTTGTCGACTCCTCTATCCTGCTTCTTTTTTACTACTATACACCCGTTTTCCCGTTTCTCCACGGGTTATCTAAGAAAAATAGAATTGCAGCACTAACACCGTTCGACCAATCAGAAATGAAAAAAAAGGTGGAATCACCTTCATTTTTTTGCGGCGATGACCAAGTGGCCGTTTCAAGAGATTGGCAAAAAATTATCCTGTTATTGAAGTAGAAGTCTCGTGTTGACGTTTCAGTTTGCGTTTGTATTCGTAGCATCTCGTTGTAGACTTCTTGAAAACATCTCACAAGTAGAGTTTTTGGAAGATAAGTAGGTGGAATGATAATTAACCGACACATTACCACCGTAGACAGCAAGCGGGGTGTTTTGATAAGAAGCATTTTGAATCAGCTCTGATTTCTTTTCAGCACGGCTCTTTAATGCGTGCTGAATATCTGACACAGCAAAACATCCCAACTCATGAATAGTCATTTTGTCGCTGTTGCGCTGCGTATAGCGAACGATCAGGATGTGCTTACTTTTATCTTCTGCCATTTTCAGTGGCGATTGTTCCAACATCAACCATCAAACAGTTGGCGTCCTCCAAGCATCTTTCTCGTGCTTCTGTGTTCCTGTGTTCCTTAGCAAAGAGGAGACCGGCAGTGTTCTTTGATTACGAACTCCAGATCTCAGAAGAAAATCGCTAAAATTTAAATTAATAGGCGTTAGTTCCCTGATCACAAGAACAACACTGATATCGCCACAACTCATTTTACATGTAGGACCACAGCTGGGTGTCTCTAAAGGAGTCGCTGTGTCCTGCCCGACTAAAAATGAGCCGTGTCGCCTTCCCCTTGTTTGTTCCTTCTCACCGAATCAGCTTGTCATGTCCCAAAATGCCTTATCAGAGCTGCTTGCTGGACGAAATGGTCATTTGTGTTGAGAACTACAGTCCTCATCATTACGGACTGTCGGGGCGGCTGAGCCGCGCTGCACTGTGACGCGACAGCGGCTGCGGCTCGGTGACGGGGAATCAGCTGATTTCCATAGAAATCAGCAACGAATTCCGCACTCAGCCGGAACAAATTTAAATTGTACTGGCTCTAAATGAATCTGAAATAATGCACCCATTCAAACAAATGCCAGAATAAGGCAAAATACAAGGAAAAGAGCATAATAATAGACAGAAAATGGAGGGAATTAGAGCCAGTACAACTTAATAATCTTTCGAAATAACTCACCTTCCACTTACAAGCTTGAAGAGCTGAAAAATGGGAATTTGCAGCCGAATTCCATCGAAATCAGCTGATTCGCCGTCACCGAGCCGCAGCCGCTGTCGCGTCACAGTGCAGCGCGGCTCATCCGCCTCTGACAGTACGCAATGATGAGGACGTTATACCGTCAGACGTACTTGTTGAGGCTAATTCCGAATCTGCTTTTGAAAAACGCAAAACGCTTCTGTGAAGGGGCTAGGAAGTTTTTTTTCTAATACTATCCTGCAGGTTTTTGCATCCAAGCGCCTTCCTCATGTTATGCCGGTTCCAATAATTTTAAGAGGGACCACACATTGGGCTAGCTTCATAAAAACATGTAGCGGGGTCAGTATCTTATGGTTTTGCATTGCAAAACTCTGGAGGAAAATAGTTGCAGCATTACACGTTTCAACATTGCTAGATAAGGTTGCACTCACATAAATGTCCGTGAAGAGAACCCCATGGACTAAAACCTTGTCATTGCATTCGTGGATAGTGGGACTCATTTACAAACCTCTAGTTGCTGACCAAGTCTTCAGGAGGGAGTAAAGAAAGCATCATGTCGAGCAACCTAAATGAGGACCTTTGGCGCTCTCACAAATCTCCGGACCTTCTTCTCATGCTAGCAAAGCAATATCCTGACGTCCTGCTACAGAAGGAAAAAAATAAAATCACGGTGTAAAAACCTCTTTGCCGAAAATAACCTCGAATTTTGGTAGGTGGTACAACTAGGGAGAGGTCAGGAGTGCCACTTATGTGAGTCGCAGCGCCTTCGGTTTTTACTGTGAAGAGGCGAAAGTGGAGCAATCTTAGAAATAGCAAAGTAGACTACCTGAACATGTAATACTGTTTACATGCGTAAAGAGAAATGGACCTGCTTGCTACCATCAGGACGTCCCGCTATCACTGCCGCTTCGCTCCACAGTCGGCTCCACCAAAGAGCCGTGATACAGGAGGGCGTCCATGGAGTGCTATGTGAGAGAACACTCATGAAAAAGCCAAATTTCGTTACTGTCATCTTTCGATATTGTTTCTGCAGATTTTTGAGAGAATCTTACATCGCTTTCAAAGCGTTGTGAGAGCATACGTCGCATTCTTCCCCGCGACAATCCTGATTTCCTCTGTGGTATCCAGGTACAAAGCGGCGTTCGCAACAGCAGCGCATCAATTGCGCATGCTTTCGACTGCGTCGGTCGAAGAAAGCATGTGTGAACGACGCAGTTGGAAGCATCGATTGTGCCGAATGCGGGACGAAAGCACTGCCGCTGCGAAGTCTAAAACGCTACCTGAGAAGCGGCCTGTAATCGTCATAGTTTTCACAGGCACAATCAATTAGATCCTGCAAAACCATTACACAGAGACTGTCCATATAAGCTCCACCATTACGGTTGGGCTTATTACAGGTAGTAGTTGTACAGGTAAATGCGGTTGAGATTTGTTCTCTCTGCATGTATACGAGAACTAAAAGATTTCCTGTAGTCTGCCCAAACTTTTCGATCTGCGAATCATCCCCAGTCAGATACTAGGTCGTCTCATTCAAAAGTGCCCAAGATTTTATTCATATAAAACGAAGAGGAAAATAGATAAAAAAAAGTAATATTTCGGCCTTGAGTTAGGTAGATCCCTCTTTCACCAATTACCTCCTGGCCTCTGGACCTCTGGTACCTTCGTTTTATTCGACAAAACGTTGTAGCGTTTGCTAGGGGATCGCCCTCGGCTGACCAAACAGCTGGAATCGAACAGCTTTGTAATCGCACGGCTTTATGACGGGCGAATGGGGCGATTGAACCCAGGTCTCAGTATTGTTTGTGTCCCAGCACTGATCTACAATACAGTTACTCGGGGTCTGGCACTATGACGAGCAACGGTGGCCTTCTTGTAGTTGTGTGGTATCATCCATTTGTCGATCTGATTGCCGAGGAACAGGCAATATACACCGACAGCGACGATTTTATTCTCTGTATAGAGCCGCCTGAAAGCCACAGTGTTTGCTATGATGATCATCCACTTGCGCCCACGTAACTCCTCATGGTAGAACTCGGGCGGCTTCTCATCTGCATTCATACAAAATTGACGATTGTGAGTTTTGGCTCGAGGTCCAAGACCACCCATAGGGCCGGGGTGCGTTTTCACAGTTGTGAATGACATCTTATGCTGAGAACATTACTGCTAGAGGCATAGAATCGGTACTGCGTTCGTGCTTCTACAAGAAAATTAGGTACTGCGCACACTCCTGATCCTCAGTTTATCGGACATAACCCGGGCAGCAGTTAGAGCAGGGATGTCAGTCTCGCGAGGAGCTCGACAAGAGGTCCAGGCTCTGTGATCAGACATTCAGCGCTTGTCATCCATCCTTCTTTTCTTGTGCAGGATGAACATTATGGGACCATCCACGACAACAAATTTTTCCTTCTTCGGGCTCCTGAACCAAATCTTCCACCTTGCATTTTGAAAAACCATTACACGCAACTGCTGGGCCTGCACGGGTCAAATTTGAGGAGCGCACTTTCCTCTTACGAGGCCTAATGTGAAGATTTCCACGTTTCGCTTCTTGTCAATTTCTCGAGAACTTCTTCTGTGGATAGGTTCGCCAAATTTCACAGATACATAGCTAAAGGTACTAGCCTCCAAATGGTATAGTAGCCCGCTGCCCTATCCCCTTTGCTTTCCTGCCATTCCTCTATATGTCTCCGCATTTTTGAATGTGATGACCTAGTAGTTACTTCATATTCCATGATGATGGGCTACGCGCTCTACGGCGCTTCAACGCGTACCACTGGGTGCCCTAATGCCACTGACGAGAGCGACCGCAGGCCGGTACCTATTTATCGATCGGGGCCGGCCGCTTGTGCTCTGTGAGCGCCTAGGGTAATAGAAAGGTAGACATGACCTAGCCTGGTGTCCATTGGCACAGATAACACAGCATGTGAGTTTATCACGCAGTGAGAGTTCCGAATATTCTTTTGAGAGTTCCAGCAACAAAGAAAAGATCTTGAGATCGTAATAAGTGATTAGTGCATCATGACCGAGTATAACACATTCTCTTTAGAATACAAAAGTCCCAGGACAATATGATCAACGTGCCACAAACTCTAGTTGAAGCTACACTGGCTTCAATTTATGTATTTGTCCTATTCATTATTGTCACATCTAAGCTGAAAGTGTTCAAGAACCCTTTCTACTCCATGTTTCGTGGCAACAGGTAAGACAAGGTTTGAAACGCTCAGCTGGAAATGTTGAAAATCGAAATAAGAGCATTTTTTGAGCAATTGCAAGACTGGAGAACCAGGACTGGGGCGTCCCTTTTTTACTGTTCCATTGATACCGGTTTCAGAAGCTTTTTCTTTTACTGTATAATTTGAAGTCTCAGGACTACACGTTCAAGAAAAGAACTGGATGCTACAGAAAGAATTGGTGCTCTTCATGAATAAAGGTGATGTTCTTGGATCAGACGTAGAAGCCATAATTCGGAACTTCTGAGGATTCCTTTTGGGCTCCCTCAATTGCATGGGCTCAACCACATTCGCGGAAGGTGTGCTGCAAGCGCGTACGAAGTTTATAATGTAGGGTCGTCCACAGCCACTTGTACAAAACTGTGCTGAACTCGCTCGTCGTAGTCTCCATCACTACGCGCACTCACTGTTTCTTTGTGGAAAGTAGCACCTCGAAAACGCAATATGGGCGGACCTGAATGGGTGTTTCACTTTTTTAGTTCCATTAAGGCCTTCTGAAAACACATCACTCTGCCACTATCCCGAAATACTCATTTCATGCTCAAAAGGGAGTGAAAGTACATGTTTAAGCTCAACACAGATTTATTTTCCTTAAAGCATTCGAACACTGACCATTCTTCATTTTTCTTTTAGGAATTGCTGACGTGACATCTATTTCGATCTGCTGTTTATTTCGTATTAACAACGAAATCCACGGATTGGGTCCACAGTTCGAGCTTCTGATTCGGATTGCTGGTATACTTGCTAGCGCATCTTTTGTTGCCCATATGCTTGGAAATATGCTCATTGCAATAAATCGATACACAGCACTTTGCCTGAAAGAGAAGTATGATAAGGTCAGTGGCTATATGATTATACACAAGCGGGGGTTCTCCGAACTCGCTTTTGGAATGATATCTGAAATAACTACAAATGATCGCTCGAGCTTTCGCATGGTTAAATCTGCACTGGTCAAAAAGGATCCTCATTTTGAAGAATGGTTCACCCCAATTCGTATGGATGGAGGGATCACACTATAGTGATTTCGCGGTCAGAGCGTCTCTTCTCCCAGCCAACTACAACGACGAGCACCTCACTGGGAGAGGCACATTCCTTAGATATTTCCGCACAAATATGAGCGACGAAAGCGCCTTTAATCCCTCCTTTCAGGTTTGGAACCGAAGAAATGTACGTCTTATAATAGGAGTGCAATATGGCTGTGCTTTCGCAGTTTTTATCCCATTATTCAAAGCAGAATACATATTCACTCAAAATGATGATGGAACTTACTTTCTTCTGGGTGTTGATAGAGTTAGCGATTTGGTAAGTTCGTTAGGACTACTCAAATATTGAGCCCTCACAAACTGCGTAGGGAGCAGGGACCGAAGTTGAAGATGTCATTCGTAATGGTATCTATACCACCGTCTGTTCCTTCGAATGATGATCTCGAATCCGTTTTCATTATCTTCTGAGCCTTTTCAAAATGAAGTTATGAAGGCTTCTTTCTCGCACTATCCTACATTTATTCAATAACGATCTTATATCTAGTGCATGGGGGAATCCCATTATGAAGCTGTGCTAGTGCAGACTACGCTCGGCTCTCCCTTGATCTCGGCATGACTGATCAGTGTGAATCGTTCCAATAGAGCCTGGCACAACGGCAGGGTGTCTGCCACACAAGCAACGCGATCCGCTTTCCTGCATAGCTTGCAATCTTGTTCGCTGCAGACACTGGGCCGTTTCAAGGGCTGTTTCCCGCGCAGCCCCGCCTGTTTTCGACTAATTTTGGAATGTGGCAGGCGAGCACAACTGATAGAGAACAAGCTAGTCCCCCGCAATGGCTTCGAGTCCTAACACAACATATGATGTTTTTAGGCGGCAGGCACACAGAGAGATGTTTAGTGGATCATATAATAATAGGATACCCATGGCATACACTGTCACGTAGTGACAACAGTTTCACTAGACGAGAGTGAAAATCTCAGACATTCTCCCATCAAAAATGAAAGCACTCGTCGTCATACATTTTCAGATTAACAGAGGCACCTACATCGCTACATGCTTACTTTACGCATTGGTAAGCTTCGTTCTCAATGTCAGATCGCTTATTCTTCTACACAGTTTATCGAAGGTCAGCGAGTTCGTGAGACGTTTCCACAACGATAGGGTGAGTAGACATTCCATCAGTACTTGTCGACTTCAAAGTCATGAAAACACAGATGAAAAATTCGAAACGGCCCAAGGAACTGGTATTAGCGCAGAGCTCGAATGTCCGATATTTTTGTTGTCGTTTGTCTTAGACATTGAGGGAGTTACTCTTAAATGACTAGTTCAAGAAGTGGAAGGTTCAGGTTATGTTGTTTTATACAACACTTGTATTTTTGTTCACTATGTTAATGTGCACACAGCAAGTGTTGAAAGGAATCGCAACCGTCACTGGAGCTGATGCATTTCATCTTTGGGTTACTGTGCAGGTGAGTTACAATAAAATTTTCATTCGGATGGAAAACCTCATGGCATTAGTATTTCGTAGCAATGTGTTATCCGGTAGTGACAGAAAATGATTCAGCGGCTCTCAATCGTCATTCGCTTGCACCCGTACTGACAAGAGATTATCTTTCAGATCAGGGAGCGCTTTTCGAAACTGTTTTTAGGGCATATAGGTCGCTGTGTTTATCTAAATATGGGGTTTGACAGACTATACAAAAATAATCACCTCCTTTTCTGAAGCGTAAGGCGCACTCATGCATAGGTTGCACCTTCGTTTCAAACATTACAAATATTTCTACCTGCCTTTGCTTTTGCGTGCTTTCTCTTTGTTCTTATCCGTATTGATGAACTGCGGAACGCACCACTCATCCAAGTATAATAAATGGAGTAAAATACGATATGAAAGAGGAAGCGAAGTGGAACGATTCTGGTGTTGGTGGAAAACCATTTTTTCAAACGATTTTTTCTTTTCGGATAATGATGCGGTTCATCAACCTAGCTCGCTCCAGGTACTCTCTCGCCAGTTTTGATACCCTCGCTCTTCGCTGCAGTGATGCCTTCCACTTGTGGACAGACCAGAGCCCTGACTGTCGTGAACCGACTCAGTTTTTCGTAGCTTTGCAGGGAATTGTGAATTCACCACAACTGGGTATCACGCTTAGAGGGGATAACACTCTTCAATCAGCGCAATGATCGACTGGCTGGTCTACCGCATACAGGTATCACCAGCGCGGTTTGTCCTTTCTAGCCTGGATATCGCATCCTTGTAGCTGTGACTTGTACTTTACTTGTATTTCTGGTCTAACAATCCTAAGTGTAGGATGCTATAGTTATGCAGCTTTATCACTATTGTTCACTGAGAGCAACCTTGCGTTATAATGTGATTTTTCTAGTATTACTGGATAAATGACGTTATGGTCAGTATACCACCGTTCTCTCTGCTGATATTCAACAAGGAACTCCGCCAGCGACATATACAACTTCTTTCGTTGTCAAAGATATCAGCGCAGCAACGTCGTCTCTGTCTCTACGTGTGAAAATCGAGCCATCGCTGCTGGTCTCAAGAAAGTTTTTGATCGTCGTACATTTACTCGCTCTACTTATTGAATAAATATTGGTATGAATGTTGCAAAGAATAAGAACAGATACTGTGTGCACCGGGAGGGGCCCACCCTCCGCAGATAGTTATGGTCGTTGACTTGTACTCTGTTCATGGAAAATGTAGCGGGTGGCATATTTTCACATCGACATAGTTAGAACATATCACGATTCCCGGTGAGATAGCGCAGACAAGCAAACAGCATAACTCAACCTAATATACAGTCCTCATCATTGCGGACCGGTGGGGCGTGTCAGTGCGGCTGCGTTTGGCGCGGTGCCAAAGTCGTTCTGCACCAGTTGTTGAAGCGGGCAAGTGACATTACTGTATTATATCCTTCGTATTACTCGTTTTCTACCACTTTTTGTCGCATACGCGTTTCAAAAAAGGCTGAGAACGGCTTCAACAGTGTGCACACTCATACTGGCTGACACGCCCCACCGGTCCGCAATGATGAGGGCTGTAGCTTGATCGCTGCGTGCCTCTCCAAAAAGGTCTTTCAAGTCATAGCACGCTTCTGGGAAACAGTTTACTGCATGGTGTAGGAGTACATACACGAGTGAACTATTGCGTAGGCCAATAAGCAATGGTGTTCTTTTCTCACTCAAAACATTTCGCTAAAGATTGAAGGTTTTGCCATTGAGTTCTGCAATTTTTTGCAAAGAATTCCTCGCCCTACACAATAGTCTTCTTAGCTTCTTTGGAAGTTTCTCTTTCCACTAATATTTAAGTGCTCAAACTGGAGTGTCAGGTCGACGAAATTGAGCATTTTCGACAGCCTCCTTATTTCACCTCTAATTAAAAAGCTAAAACCGCACAGGCCCAGTTGCTAAGTATATGGCCAGAGGCTATGTCTCTTAGGAATGCTTACAGTAGTTTGAGTGATTCGAAGATTTCAATTTCGACCTCATAGACAAGCATCGAACCTAATGCCCTATTGAGTCCAACTGAGAGCTTACTGAATTACCTTATTCACGGAGATTCATGCCAAAGATTGAGGAATCGTTAGAGGTCATGGAATTCTTCCTTATCATTATCGAGCACCACCCTTAGTTGATGTTAGACGTTCAAAAGTTAGGGGGTACGTTCTGCAGGCAGTCGCTTCCCAAGGGGCGCCCCATGCGATTCACATTTACAAGGTCCGAATTGCCACCTCTTGATCGCTCGAACCAATTCAAGCTGTCATAAGAAGCGTCACTCATTGGCCATATATGTCACAAGTTTTGAGCTCCTTCCAGGGCACAGCATTCGATGGGGATTTTGGTCGAGCCTGTACGACCCCCCCCCACTTTTTTTGGGGGTTCGGTACCCTCCCCCCTTTTTGCCGTTCGGTTTATATTGCCTACATAACAACGCATAAAAATTATACAGAGCAGTGTTCGCAGTCGCATAGTTGCTCTTTTCGCTGGAGTGCGAGAGCAGAAAAAAGGCAAGGAATCACGAGTTTATCGCAGGTGGGCACCACTCGTGAAAAACAGGCTTTTTGTGTATTCACAGTGTATTCACTTCACTGGAGGTGCAATATAACCAACCAAGCTAGGAACCGCGAGAACAACAAAAAAGGAAAAGCTAAAAACAAAAAAGCTTTTTAACGCGGACGATTCGTCTCGCTCCTCAACTGAATCCGACTCAGAAGGCGTCAGTGGTGCAATTGCGGCCAGCCGTTCTCAAAGTTGTCCCGTTTGCATAGCTCAATCGACTATCGATTAAAGGACCGGGGGAAGGGAATTCTGGGCAGGACCAGCCGTGGGAAACAAATTTTCAGCAAGTAGGGTGTCTTTGAAGGACCATAACTTCCTCAAAAGCGGACCTATGGGGAAGAGGAAAGCGTATTCGTGTAGAGGAAGGTTTGATCTTCCTAAAAGTACTAAAATGTTCATGAAGGTCGCAAAAATCACAGAGAAATTGCAGGTTTGAATCAATATATTTTTTTTGTAACTCAACATTTCACAAATCTGAGAACGGATTCGAGTGTATGAAGACTTGCTCTTTCTAAAAACCTATTGAACTGTTTCTGAAGTCCTCGGGATTCATGAGATCTGGCGATGGGGATTTCTCGCGCAGTACTCCGAGCTGCGCGAAAAACCCGTTTCCTGTGTACCGTTTCAAGTGAGCGTGTTCGAATAACCAGGAACGCATGTAGAACGTATCCTGTGGTGGAGCAGGAGCAGGATATGGTTCGTTTAGCGCCGATCACGCAACTTTGGATGCGCCGCGCACTGAGGTCCGCGCAGAGGTGATGGGATGGTGCAACTTGTGCGTAATGTCTGTCCACGCGAGCAAATGTGTCTATAGGGTTCAGGGAGGTCCATGGCGAGCCTGTGCACTTGTTTACAGTGTTTTCCGTTGCGTATGATGGAACATGTCCCTGTCGACGCTGCCAGATTCGTGCTCCGCCAATTGCTGACTCCGATAAAGGAGACCAACTGCTGGAAAACGTCTATACGAACG